TATTTTCAGTGTTGGGGAAAGTTACTTTTAAAAGTAATGCATTACAATATTGGGTTACTCCATAAAAAAGTAACTAATTACGTTACTTAGTTACTTTTTATGGAAAGTAATGCATTACGTTACTTTTGCGTTACTTTTTAAATCTGGACAGGGCTTGCTTGTTTGATTTTAAAATAAAAAAAGTTCTATTTTTGGCAAATATAAAAGCCTTTTCACACCAAAAGTGAAATGAATAAGCCTCAGGCTGAAGGGAAAGTACATTTACGTCCGTACAGTAGAATGCAGAAGAATAAATTTCAACACACTTCAGCAATAAGAAAAGACACATAAACGTTTTTCTAGAATAATTTTTGCTTAGTACGGTTGAGCTGGATCATCGAAGGTCAGAAGCAAAGACATTGGTTAATAGAATGGGATTAAATACATAAAGGATATTTGTGTTGTTTAACATTTAATTATTGCAGGTTTGCGTCATATTCAGAGTTGCATTATATTTTGAGGAAAACTGAATCTGTGGGGTTTTTTTTGTGAGTGAGATGAATTAATGCATATTCATATTTATTTTGAACTACAGTAACATCTGATTTCTCTCAACATGGGGACAGGAGAGCTGTCAATCAATAAATTGAAAAAAAAAGTAACTTGCGTTACTTATTTGAAAAAGTAACTCAGATATTCTCTTTTAAATTAAAAAGTAATGCGTTACTTTACTAGTTACTTGAAAAAAGTAATCTGATTACGTAACTCGCGTTACTTGTAATGCGTTACCCCCAACACTGATGACTGGTCTGATAACTGTCTGGTCTTAAAACTTTGAAACCTTTTGCAGATCGCATCGCAGTTCGCATCAGATGAAGTTTATCTTCTGACAGCCTCACCCTTAGTAAAGGCGGTTACAAATTTCAAACAGGTTTGGTATTTAACGTTGAAATTCTGTGTCTTTGTTTAATTAGGAGCACTTTGATTATTTATTTGTGGAAAATGTAACTATTTTAAGACATTTATTGCACATCCTTAAAAATATTTTATTTATAAAAAAAACAAAATGTGTGGTAATAAATATAATACAATATGCAATACTATACATAAATCAAAAATCTGGATATTGAATAAAAAAAAAAAATAGTTTTTTTGTCAACAACCTCTCTTCATCTAGGTGTCGAAGACGTTGGAAGAATTCGATATCGAGGAACAGCCCTCCAGTGTTTTAGAAGAAAAGTATCCCAATCTGAAAGTCCTACAATCTGCAGTCAAACTCCTGCGAGCTAAAGAACATGTATGTTAAGACAAACACTTGGTTTCTTTTTCCTAAGATATTCTAAATCTAATTTGAATCGCTCTCTGCATTTCTGCAGCTTTTACAAGCAGAGAATGGTCAGACGTTTCATTATAAAAAGCTGTGCATCTGCAGCGGAGCCAGACCCAAGCTTCTCACCCAAGATAACCCTCATGTGCTGGGCATACGAGACACAGACAGCGCTCAGGTACACTCATTAGTAATGAATAGTATGTGTTTTGAACATAACAGACATGAATGTGATGATTGATGCTATTTTCACAGGAGTTTCAAAAGCGATTATCAAAGGCTAAAAGGATAGTTGTCATTGGCAATGGAGGAATCGCATTAGAATTGGTGTAAGTATCTGAATTGTTAGTATTGATAATACGGGATCTGCACAGTAAACACACACACACACAAAACAACAACAGTAACACACACACACCCCACAACAACAACAACACACACTATTAGTCACTTAAATGCATGGAATTAGATTTGTATAGAAATATAATTGTGTATAAATTGATTGTTTGTTTATTTTTTTACCAAATCAAAAATGTAATTAAATGAAAGTATATATTCTATAGCTTCATCATTCTTCTATTCCCATTTATTTAATTTGTGTTATTTGGTATTTTGATTATTTTTACTATTTTATCAGTAATGTGAAAAATAATTGAAATTTATGTTGGCAAACCAAAGTAAAGAAGAAAAAAACAATATAATATAATTGTTATCGGTTTAACATTTCCACTACATAATTCCAATTACTCCCATTTGTGCTATTTCAAAATTCATTTGTGTTATTTTGTATTTTCATATTTTGATGGTTTTATTTATGTGATAATGAAAGCATGTGTAGGTGCATCCAAAATCTTTGTTTGGAAGTCTAGGTCCAAATGCGAACAGAACAAAGTAAAAAAAACTGAGAGCGAGAGAGATGTATTGTGATATTTGATAATGCCTGCTGTGTGCTCCTGTAGGTATGAAGTAGAAGGTTGTGAAGTGATCTGGGCTATAAAGGATAAAGCCATAGGAAACACTTTCTTCGATGCAGGAGCCGCTCAGTTTCTCATTCCCTCCCTGGAGGCTGACAAAAAAGAAAGATCGTTGCCCTGCAAGAGAGCACGCTACACTACTGACAAGACTGGAGGTATGAATTCAGCTTCCACACTGGTTTCCACACTCACACACAGTGAGCACTGCTGCCCTCTTCTGGCAGTCTTGATGGAAAGTAAGTATATGAGTGCAACTGTATAGTGTGTTTTCACACTAATAAATTATAAATACAGTTTTACTTAAATTATCATAATATGTAGTATGTACACTACCAGTTTTTGTTTGGACACTTGCACTTCTTATTACTTTTTTTAAATAATAATACCATTTACCGTAATAGTAAAGTCTTCCAAACCACAATATTTTGTTTCATTAAGAGCTGATAAAAAAAACATAAATTCTGTCAAGTGTGTCACATGCGTATGTTTAATAGCAGACCACAGTGGGGCTTCAGGGGGGCTTGGCAGTGCCTTGGGCCCAGATTGGCATGAGGGGATTGAACTAAGAGGAACAGTGCAGGTTTGTGTCCACAATATTTTCACATTAGTCACCATAACATGGTGGATGATTGTCACTTTTCACTTATTTTGATTGTTTTCCTTCATTTCACAGAATTCCAGTGGAGTGCGTGTAGAATATGAGTGTGAGGTTGACACGATCTACACCCAGCAGGAGTTCTTGCAGTCCCAACTCGACACAAAGAAATCTGAATTAGGTTTAATAATAATAATCATCATCATCATCATCTAAATAATAATTAATCTGCAGTGTTTTACAGCTGAAATAAAATAACTAAATTTGTTTTTCTGTTTTTAGGGCTGTGGCCAACTTATGTTCAGTTAACAAATGGGAAGATTTATGGCTGTGATTTCGTTGTTAGTGCAACAGGCGTTGTGCCAAACACTGATCCTTTTCTCAGTGGCAACAATGTAAACATTTATATGCATTTGAATTGACCCATTTATTTCACTTTTATATTTTCATTTTATTTATTTATTTATCGTAAATATAATTTTGGTTATTATTGTATGGATAAATATGGATGTGTAATATTTAGGGTTGCAAAGGGGTGGAACATTTCCAGAAAGTTTCCAAAAATCCCTGGAATATTCCAAAAAAATCCTGGAAAGTTTCCAAAATTTCTGGAATATTTTCGGAAATTTACTGAAAATTTTCCAACTTTTTGCAACCCTAGTAATATTACAAGGATATATTTCAGTATTATATGTCCAGTGGTGCTTTTTTCTGAATTTATTTATATATTTTTTTCAGTTATTTTTTTTTTTATTATAGTATATCATTTTATTTATTGACTTATCAGTATTGTCAATGCGTAACTAATAGTTTTAAACATATTATACATGTATTTTTTTTCCGGGTTTGTCAGGTAAATTGAGCTACTTTTATCAATGAAATGAACAGCAAGTGGCCCGATAACACCAGAATTCAAGGCTTTTTTCATTTCAGTTTGAACTGGCAGGAGATCATGGTCTGAGAGTGGACGATCAAATGCGGACGTCTGAACAGGATGTGTATGCGGCTGGAGATGTGTGTACTGCAGGCTGGGAGCCCAGCGCTCTCTGGCAACAGGTACAGCTGCACCTCTGTTACTGTATTAAAGGGGTCATATGATGTTGCTAAAAATAACATTATTTTGTGTATTTGGTGTAATGAAATGTGTTTATGTGGTTTAAAGTAAAAAAAACACATTATTTTCCACATACTGTACATTATTGTTTCTCCTCTAAGCCCCGCCTTTTTGAAACACGTCGATTTTTACAAAGCTCATCGGTCTGAAAAAGCGAGGTGTGCTGTGATTTGCCAGCTATCCAGTGCGTTGTGATTGGCCGAATACCTCAAGCATAAGACGGAAATGTTACGCCCCTTACCAATCTGTGATGGCGTGTCCCAGCCGGAGCGACGACACAAAAACATTAAAACCCATGACTTTAGTCTTTGCAACTTTACAGATCTTCTTTATGCACCGAGAGCTTGTAACACTCCAAAGAGAAAGGAAAAAATGAAATCGCATCATATGACCCCCTTTAATGTATAAATTATGTACTGAGGATTGACTTTCTATAACGTCTCTCCTGTTATGTGTAAGATGCGATTGTGGACTCAGGCGCGTCAGATGGGCTGGTACGCATCACGTTGTATGGCTGCAGATGTTCTGGAGGAGCCTATAGAGCTGGACTTCTGCTTTGAGCTGTTCTCACACATCACCAAATTCTTCAGCTACAAGGTGAGTCCTTTTGTTTGTGTCTGATTCTTTAAAAAATATGTATGCTCTTCTTGTTGGTACCTCAAAGACATTTCAGTAATTGTTTTATTCTCAGACTTAATGCCAGAGAATTCAGAATTTAAAAATGGGCTCACTTTTTATTCATGAGTCACAGCTGGAATGACTGAATTTGCTGAATTGCAGTTCAAAAGTAATTTACACAATAGAAACATTATGAAAATGAATATGAGGGATGCACACTCATCAGGAGTGAAAGTGGTGACAAAGATGTGACGTTTAAAAAAGGGCATTCAATTGTCTCTGGCCACAATAACACACTAATTCACACAATAATACATTCACACAATTCACTTAATATATATATATGTGTGTGTGTGTAAAAAATAATAAATAAATAAATAAATGTGTGTGCCGTTATGTAGCATATATGTTATATGAAACAAAAGTGCATTTATAAAATGAACAAAAAATAATAATAATAAATTATAAGATCAAATGAAAATAAAGTTAATGTATATAAATTAAAGTAAAATATCCATGTTGTCTAATGTTTTTGTAAGAACTCTATATGTTGTTAGATAACATGTTTATGGCTCATTTGTGTTTTTGTTTGTTTGTTTTGTTTCATTTTTATTGTAAAATAATAAGCCTGATTGCTTCCTTAATTAAAGTTCAAAACAAGGAATTGAAGAATAATTTTAAGAGCATTCTCAGTGGATGGCACAAAAGTAGTTTTCACATTTGGTAATACATTTTGCAACCATATATTTTCTGTTTTGTCTTTTTTTTTTTTTTTTTTAGGGGGTTTTGCTAGGGAAGTTTAATGCTCAGGGTTTGGGTCAGGACCATGAGCTTCTTGTGCGCTGTACAAAAGGCCAGGAGTATGTAAAGTTGGTTCTGACTGGGGGCCGAATGGTGGGAGCCGTCCTTATCGGAGAGACGGACCTGGAGGAAACTTTCGAGAACCTCATTCTCAACCAAATGGACTTATCCCGATATGGCGAGGAGCTTCTTAATCCTAATATTGACATTGAAGACTACTTTGACTGAATCGTTCTGGTTAGTCAATGACAAAGAGATGATTAATTTATTTTAAAGCTGCACCATGCAATTTGTGTTCTACGAAACAGTTGTTCAAAAATGTTGTTTTCAAACACTACACCGGTCTTGTTCAGCAACAGGAGGTCCTACCTCAATCTGTTGCCTTTGGTCGAGGCAATATTGTCATGCTGAGCACGCAAATAAACAGACTTAAAATTTCTTTTCACAGCTAGAGGTGCAGAAATTGCACATTGTATTTTAAAAGAGTAGTTCACCCACAAATGGAATACATAATTCACCTGGTCCATGAACTGAATTTCATTTCTTCGTCAAGTTTTCTACTGTAAAATCATAGCTGTCTGCAAGGAGCAGATGAAAACGTGTTATTATTCACTAAAATTCTTCCTGTAAAAACATTGTGACCAGATCATAGAATATATGATCCAAATACATAGTTGGTCTTGAGAATCTGATGACTCTGATTCATTAACAAATTATTCTGTTTTTTGTGATCAACTCATTTACTGAAAAGATGTGATTCAAATGAATGGTTTGTTCGGACACAGCTGCATCTCTCATTAATATGCCCAGGGCAACTGGGGTGGATGTCAAGATTTTCACTAAATAATGACTTGGATTTTGGTTGGCTCCTCATTTTGGTCGTATGGACCACTTTTACTGATGCGGAGTTGCAATTCGTTCATCGCACAAAGCTGGCTTCAGAAAACAGGAACTGTAAAGGACTACTTGTATGTCCTTTTCGAAGCTTGAAAGCTCCAGTTCCAGTTCTTTGCATGGAAAATAGTGACTAGTACTTTGTTTAAAATTTCTAATTTTGTGTTCCAAGTCATATGGGTTTGGAATGATAGTGAAGGTTCATAAAAACTATTACGCTGAACTTTCATTTTTGGGTGAACTATTCCTTTAAGGAACTATGAGCTATTAGAAGTAACCAATGGATAACGCACATTGAGAAAGCAAGTAAGAAAAACACGGACACAAGAAATAGCTTCTATTGATTGATTCTTTATTTAGAAGTGCCCCGTTTTCACATCATGAGGCTAAAAATGAAGTCCATGTATACTGTAGCTACACTAAAGTATTGTGTTTAGTTTCAACATGGCACCTTTCAGTTTTGTGGGATATGTGTCTGTTGAGCTCCAACTCCCATAATGATCCTTTGGTAATCAATTCTGTGATCTCAACTCGTATTTATCCTTTTTTGGAATGATTTTTGGCCAAGAGTGGAGGGGAAATCATTACTTCAAGTGAGCTTCCGATGGTCTTTACTGTATATGGGTGAAAATAAATGTTAAATTAATTCAGTATAACATTAAATGACTTCCCTTTAAATCCATCAAATCTTCTTTAAAACTTCCATTAAATCCGAAACTTTTGCAAAAATATTTTCCCAAAGACACCTTAGTTCTGCATTATCCTGTATTATATAAACATTCTGGCATTTTACACACATTCTAGGTCTCCCAGCATTCATTTTTAATATAAATTAGTTGCTGCGATATTCAAGCATGTACTCTGGATATATCTGATTGGAATCAAAGATAACAAAAACTTTTGGATAGAGCGTATTATCTACACAACTATCATGTCTGTTTTCATCCTGGTCATCATTAGGTGTACAGTCATCTTCATGGCCTGCTTTGTACTTCCCGACTATAACGCGGGCAAGCAGCATAACTTTGGGTCCCTGCCTGGTGTTACTGTATTTGTCAGCAAAGGATGCATGTTTTGCAAAGTATGTTCCTGCAAAAAAAAAAAAAAAAAAAAAAAGTTGTTACTATAAGTATTTTATATGTGAAAACACCTAAGAAAATATTATAATCACAGCCCACCTTTGCCATATACGTGTCCC